CCCCAAAACCCCAAAACCCCAAAACCCCAAAACCCCAAAACCCCACTTGTCAAGAGAATATTATAAAAATATAAAATGGAATATTTCCGAGTTTTACTACTCTTGACTGTTGGATTTATCGGTAAGTACCAATCTAGTCACAGCCATGGGGGCTGGCAATGATTTGATCAAGATTCTTAGATTGAGAGCCAAGGGTTATCATGTCTCTATAGCTACTACTCAGGCCACCAGTCAGTGCCCAAGCGGATACAATGATACACTTGTGGAAATGACAAAGACTTTTGAGTTTACCGCAGGCAGTTCTTTCATTCTTGGCCAAGTGATTTACCAGAATAATTTCTTTTACGGTCTTATTAGGTACACTCTTTCGTCAAGACAGCATACAATGGTATTTAAGAGGGATCAGAATTTTGCTAATGGGGGTGAGGTAAAGTATGATGCCATTTCTCGAGACTCTGATCCAGCCTCCCTAGCAGCAGGAGATTCACTAGCAATAGCTACAGATAGCAGCTTCCTGTTATTCTCGGGCATGATTAATGATTCCAGTACATTCAATGCGTTTTTATCAAGAATTGGTAAGGAATAGATGAATAATTTTAAATAGATGAGAGCACTTTTTCAATAACCAGCTCATACCGTTTTTCTGGGATGAAAAACTTCCATAGTATAGTTCTATCTCAAGATGCTGTTTCAGCATTTTTAATAGGAAGAGATGGGTCTAATAATGGAGTGCTCTGTTTGGTCAGTGTCAGCACCTTGAATAGTGCAGATTGAACAGTTTTAACATCTACAAAAACTATTAGTCTCGCCTATATTGGACTAACTTCTGGCACGAATGAATTAGTATTTTCAATTTATGAGTCATCAAAGCTAAAATTAACAAAGATTGATGAAACTTCTGGATCAGCTTCCTTTGCCTGGATAAATGAATTTGGGTATTCTGGTTATGGAGGGATCACCTCCATACAGGATAAACTTGCTTATGATTCAACCACACAAGAAATTTATCATATGGCATATATGAGTAATGATATTATCATATTTATGGCTATTAATGCTCAGACTGGAAGTTTAAAGCATGGAGTTTACTACCTGAACACCTTAACTTCAATAGAAACTATTGGGATCACAGTCAAAGATAGAGCTTATCTGATGGCTCAGGCTTCAAGCCAGAGCTATGTTTTCCCTTATGACACAGGAACTAATACATTTTCTTCAACTTATGACAATCTAACTAGATTCAAAGGAGCTTTTGTGGCGATGCTGGAAAACTTCTTTTTATCTGGAGGCATGAACACTAACAATAATTGTGCTATTTTTAAATAAAGTCAACATGCCTTCTATCTTGAAAGGAAATAATGATATTGATAATTCATACCCATATGGCACTTCTGGAGGGGATTTGTTCCAGACTGGAGCAACTACAGATTATAATATCTCCTCTTCTACAATTACGTCAACTGTTACGACAGGTTTACAGTCAGGTGCATCTACTTCAGTCTTTGATGTAACAACTGCTTATACCCAACAAGATTGTGCATATCTTCAGTATACAGCTGATGTAGCTTACTTATCTAGTAATATTATTAATGCAGATGTGCAAGCAGGAGCGAGTACAAATATTTCAGTAACTGAACCATGATTGACCTCAAGCTCGAACACTCTGGTATTCTCCACTTCTGCAGTTCTTTCTTGGTCAACTTATGTTTCTGCAGATAAAGTTTTGATAGCTAGCCCAAGCAGTAGTGTTTCTGATGGAAGTTATTCGGATAGCCTAACTGCGATATTCAGCTCGAAAAGCTATAGCTTAGAGGTTAATTACAATGTTTACAGCTGATCGGTGACTGATTGTGAGCTTTGAGCTGCGTCAACTACATATTTATGCAGCCAGTGAATCAGTGGAAAGGTATTATCAAGTGACTTTTTGACATGAAGTAGCTCAACTCCACCTACCAATCCTCCATCAACAAATCCAACGCCATCAAATCCAACTTCATCGAATTCTACGTCATCGAATTCTACGTCATCAACATCTGATTCTGGAACTTTATCTGAAAATCAGGAGACTATGTCGACTATCGGGAGATCTTTATAATTGCATCAGGGTTAGTCTTAAGCCTGGCAGGTGCCTTAACTGGTCTCTCATCTACACAGAGTATATGGAGTATGCTGAACCAATACCAGTTGTTTTTAACTTTACCGCTAGTAGGCTGGCATATTTCCCCAACCTTCGTAAAATTCATTAGCGATTTCGACTTCACTGCATTTAATGGTGAATGGTTAGCTCTTGATCAGATGTTCTTGTTCAAGGATTTATATGAATGGCTTAACATTCCTCAATCCAAAGCTAATTTTGAGTCTATCGGACTGAAATCAGGCAGCACATTGATCAACCAGCTCGGGATCCTATTCCTCCTCCTGTTGCTTATCTTTTTGCATCTGGTTTTTGAGCTGCTAAAAACAAGCTGACTATGGAAAGTTCAGAACAAATTCTGGACTAAAGTATTTGATAAAGCAGATGTTTTACTGAAGTATAATGTTTATGTTAGGATTATGCTGGAAATATACCTGTTCACTATTCTTTCAAGTCTTTCTGAGACAAGGTCCTTTAACCATAGTTCTTCAGCCAGGGTGCTATCCTTGAGCTTGTCTCTCATATTTGTGTGAGTCAGCTTTGTCTGTCTCTTCGCAGTGGGAGTTCATTATTTTAAACATCGAAATACTTCATTCAAAGAGCAGAGTAAGAGGTTCAGTGAACTCTATCCTTCAGTGAGGGATAACAAGTTTCATAAGCTGTATTCTTGCTGTTTCCTCATGAGGCGGACCCTTATAGTGGTAGTGATCCTCTCAGATGTGATCCTTGATAATCCGGATACACTGATGATGCGGACAATTCTTTATACTCTTGTGCAATTCCTGGTGTTCGTATTCAAATGAACCTGGATCTTTAATAACTTGAAGGACAATATTATCGAAATAGTTAATGACTTCATTTTGGTCATGCTCTCTCTGACTTTCACTATTTGTCAGAAAGAAAATACATGTGATAATGATGTTGTCACTGACTTTGCAATTATGGTCTTGGTGATCAATGGAGTATTCATGAATATTTCAGTCATCTTATTCCAATTAATTAGGGTAAGATTAGCTTAACTTCTAGTGGATAAAGAAAAGCAGGTGAAAGAAGCACAAAGTTTTACAGATGGTTAAGCAAACTAGGGTTAAGAACACTAAGGTTAAGAAATCTATGGCTAAGACCCAGACTATCAGAGCATGTTCCCTCAAAGGTACGCCCATCAAGACTATCTTATGATACATTTTTGGATTGCTTAACTTAGAAATCCATACTTGAATTATCTGAATGGGTCTATCGCAACTTTTTCCAGAAATCTGGTTTCTTCGAATGCAAATATTATCAAATGATTTGTAAATTTTGATAATTCTGAAGTTAATTTTTCACCGTTTATCGTATCATATTTAGTAAATAATCCCACTGGCAGAACACTCCAAGAGAATAGGATCTCCACACGAAGAACATTCAGTGGTAAGACCGTTCAGCTAATATGTAGTTGACGAAGAAGAGAAGCAGAGGGAGACCACAACTGCTAAGAATACTCCCAGGTATACTAAATCCCAAACTGATCGAAGTCATGTAAGCAACAACGGTTACAACTGCTCGACATTAATAAATGTCTTAGAGAACAAGGAGGATTCTGAGGATTAGAGCATGACATCAATAGTTCCTCAATGCATGGAATCAGGCTGCTGCCAGCAATATCATCAGAATATTGATTTCAGGTCTCTAATATATGTTTAATACTAATATCAACATCGGTTTCTTACTTGGGGTTTTGGGGTTTTGGGGTTTTGGGGTTTTGGGGTTTTGGGG